AAGACCGGTCGAGATGACGAGTTTCACAAAACTCCCATCGATCAGACTAAATTTATTAGCGCTAGAGGAAACTCATTTAAAGTTCTAAAGGATGTATGGGAAATACCGGTTGAAAGACATGTGTGGTTTACTCATAACCACTAGAGTGGTCGTAGACCGGCGAAACTACTCGCAAGAAAAAAAATACATACTGTCACATTCCCATATGATATTATTGCTTAACGATCGATGCCTGTACGAAACTGGCACGTTTCCAACGCCTCTACGATGAGTCAAAAGCTACTGTGAAAGGAAATAAGACTATTCGCATAAGCGAAGGGTTGAAAGCTTGGCGGTTCAAGTACAAATATGAGTTAGTTAGTGAAAATCGTCTAAATGAAAAACTGCGTACAAAGAGGAGAATGACGAGGACATGATACGACATTTCATAGATCTGCCTTCCTGTCCCCGTTGCGAAGGAAAGGCAAATCGGTTACCGTTGATATGCCAGTCTTCTTTACATTTTCACGATGTGGTGATTTTCGGCGTTATCCTTTTCATGCATTTAAGGGTGATTTTCATTACCACGCCATCAAACAGAAGTGCCTTATTTCAAAACCGTAGATGACGGCAGCAAGGCGGCAAGTATAATGAGTAATTTCCTTTTTTTGCTAGATAGTGCTACTGAGTTATCAACCTCAGAAAGTTCGAACCAGGGACCTCTACTTTTTGAGTCTGGCGCTCTATCGACCGGGCAATTCTGTTAGTATGGCAAAGTGCCGCTAATTAACTAAAGTAGTTTATCACAACTAGGACAAGGTATAGTTTAAAGTGCTTGTTTAACTGTAAGTAGAGATAGTGAACCTTGAAACGGTCCGCTACCTGGTGTTGCGGCATTTGTTTTGGATGTATAAGGCAAGTTTTCAGGAAAAGAATATAAACATTGGTGATAGGGAGACGATCACCATCCGTATCTTTAATGAGAGTTTTTACCGGGGAAGAACGCCATTTTAGTACCCCATACTATTTTTAACCGGATAGAACAGTGGTAGAATAGGATTGCTACTGACTGACATATTCTCTCAGCCGTCAGGCTGAATCTTGTCAAGTTGATTTCTAAACAATGTACTGACAGTCAAGAGGAAATGGACGTTTGAGTTTCAGAATGGGTGGTCATTTTCTCGATCAAGCCACAGTAAATTACGCTGTGCCGATGTGGGTACCGTACTGTTCACTACAGTAAGCCAGGCAGTCATTTCGATGGAACACGTATCACAGAGAATCCAGGTCTGTCGTGTGAATGTTTAACAGGCAGTGCTGAATACCAGTGTCCCCTATGCCCCAACATATGTGTCGAATGACAACGACAATGACACTATCTATGACTGAATTGGCCCTTAGCGCTTTTCCCATCCGGATATCATAATTGTTACAGGCTACCTCAACACAAAGGTGGGCACCGAACACACCATATGTGTGACAACGGCTGGCACTTGTTACGCATCTGCGCCTCAAACAGCTTACCCTCGGAGGGACATTTTTCCCCTGTAAGCGTATTCACCAGAGCATCAAGACAACCCCAGGTGGTAGCTTAAACACCTCGTTGGATCACGCTCTCATCATCTGCAAATGGCGCATCTCGTTCTTTAGACTAGCGCCACGAATGGCACC